TATATATATATATATATATATATATATATATATATATATTGTCAGGTGTAGAACTGAACTAAAGTGTTACTAGTACTGACAAATGACCAGGACCAAAAACATAGTGGTAGTTGCTGTTGCGTACATACTGTAAACTCATCCTTTTTCTCTTGTATAATCTATTGTATATATTTTTTCAGATAAATAATGTTATTAACTTACTTTTATTTATATATATATATATTATTTTAATTTTTTTTTTTTTTTTTTTTTTTTTTCCTGAAACACATAAACAATGTAGGAATTAATCCAAGAACAATTTGGAGTGTGACTTTTTCTCAACCCATGCAGTACACCTTACAGTGTCTCTACTGTTTATTCGAGTCCAGTGCTTTAAAAAAAAAAAAAAAAAAAACTATTTGGTAATTTTTATAGTGACATTTTGTCAAATAGTTATCAATAGTTTTTACTTTACCAGCCGTGACTTCAGTCGTAGAGAGCAGAGTGTGGAGAAAGAAGCAGAAGTCTTTGAACAGTGTAAGCTAAAGGCTAATCGATTTAGCCTATGAAATAAATGATCTCAAAACCAACATCCAGATGTTAAAGAACATTTTGTTAACTATCTAACATCAACACTTTTGTTTGACTGCTTATTTTGTTTCTGTTTTCTCAAATAAACTATGTTCTTGTGTTTTAAATAAATGCATGTTTCTAATTGTAAACAGTTTAATAAGTAGAGACCGTTTTAAAATAGTAAACAATCTAGACAGTTTAACAATGTAAACAGAGTAAACAGTGTAAACAATGTAAACTGAAAACAGTTTAAACGGTGTAAACAGTTTGAATAATGAAAGCAGTGTAAACAGTTTTAAAACAGTAAACAGTCTTAACAGTTCATGTGTTTCTTTTGGCTGCTCCATTCTTCAGGGGTCACTGCATGAAAGATTTGGCAATTGATTACATCATATACCCTTCCTGACACAACCTGGGCTTGAACCTACAACCTCAGGATAACAAGACCATGGCGCTGACCACCACATTATCACAACTACAAACAGTTCAAGCAGTGTAAGCAGTTTAAAAAGTGTAAAAGTTTAAAAAGTAAACAGGTTAAACAATGAAAACAATCTTAAAAAAGTGGAAACAGTTAAAAATGTGTAAACAGTGTAAAATGTTTAAAATGTGTAAACAATGTGCAGTGTTAACAGCTTAAACAGTGTAAACAATGGAAACAGTTTAAAAAAGTATGAACAGTTTAAAAAGTGTAAACTGTGTAAACAGTTTAAACAGTGTACACTAGAAATGAAAACAGTGTAAATAGTGTGAACAGTTTCAACAATGTAAACAAAGTTAGTAATTTAAACAGGGTACAAATGTACACATTTTAAACAATGTAAACAGTTTAAAGAGTGTAAACAGTTTAAAATATGTAAACAATGTAAATATTTAAAAATGTGTAAATAATGTAAACAGTGTAAACACTTTACACAATAAAAACAGTTTAAGTAAAGTAAACAGATTTTACTGTGTAAACATGTTCAACAGTGTAAACATTGTAAACAGTGTAAACCATTTTAACATTGTATAC